ACAGCCACATCCATCAGCCTCAACATCCACCAGTGCTGGCAAAAAACGAAGCCCAGTGTATGCAGGCAATTAAAAAGCTGCTTAATTTTCAATAAATGCTCTCCTTCTGTGGATTATAAAGTTGTTTTTTACTAAAAACCTCTGCACAGTCACTTTTTTCACATCAAGCTCATCCCTTTTTCCACAGCAGATTCCTCTCAGTGCCAGAAGCAGAGAAGCAGAGATTTATCTGCAGCCATCAGTGGTTTGTCCTCACTCTCACCTGCTGCTCACCAAATGGCAGAGCCCAGCTCATCCACACACAGATTTTCTCAAAAGACACAAAAATGGTGGCAAAGGAGCTTATAAAACCAAGTTTTACCCATTCCCTTGTTGCCTTCTTTCCTGGGGACTGGGGAAGGCAGAAACACAGCCCGTTTGATTTTCTCATAGAAACCAGGAGCCAAAACCAACTGAAATCAGCGCCGGAGCTGGAAAGGTACAACAAAACTCACACAAACATAAAGTCTAGACACTGAAATGTGGAAATATGATTCAAATAACCACAACTGGCACATAACACACTGATTGCAGCCCATCGCAGAATGGGCCTCAGTGGGGAGGAATATAGAAGGAAGATTAAATTAGTTCTTCCACCTCAGTTGTAGAAAATATGGATCCTGTAGGCACAGTGATATGGATTGAGCTGGAGTTTCTTCCGTCCTGCTGGGATTTTTGTTAGGATTTTAAGTAACACACATCTGCTCTAGCTAAGTAACAACAATCAGCTTAAACTTCATGTAGAATCATAGAATCACAGAGCGGTTTGGGTTAGAGAAAAAAAAAAAAATCACTAAATTCAGTTTATTCCAGGAGCAGGGACACCTTCCACCATCCCAGGTTGCTCCAAGCTGGCCTGGGACACCTCCAGGGCTGGGGCAGCCCCAGCTCCTCCAGACCTGCTTCTGTCTCCCCATCACTGATCCCACATGAACCTGCCCCAGCTCTCACATGGCTGCTCTTATCAAAGCATGGCTGGACTCATCCATGCTCAAAACACAGAGCCAAGTAGCCAAGAGGATGTTGTTTGTGCTGATGAAATCTAAATACTACAGAGACTGAGGCAATTGGCTGCTCTCAGGAAGTTCTGTGGTACCTGCTGAGCTGCATCACGTGTGGGCACCAACCTCAAGGACAAAGTCTGCGTCTACCATTAAACCCAACAGCACAGAATGGAGCCCAAAAGGAGAAATAGCTCAGCTTTGCACTGAAGTGTTCTCTCCTGCATAAAAGGGAGAGCAGAGGGTTAACCCTGGACCAGAGCAGGGAATACTCCAGGTGGGTGGAGGGGGACAGCTCAGTCAAGCCCTGCTCACCAGTGCTGACCTCTTTTTGAGTTTAACAAATGCTGGTTTCTTTAAATTAGAGAAAGGCACTAGTCCAATGTAAAGAAAGGAGAGACCAAGTGCACGGAGCTGTGTTTTCTCTAGACTGTAATGCAGAAAGGATTGGATTTTGGGAAGGCTGCTCTCCCAGGGCAGCAGGGATACACACAGCACTCAGCAAACTGAGAGGTTTAGCACGCTCTTTAATATATAAATGCTTGGAAAAAAACCCCAAACCCACCAAAATCCCCAGTCAGAAGGCAATACCAGATTACCAGGGTGTGCAGAAGTTGCCTTCTGTACATGGGATGTTCCTAAGCAACACATGAGCTACTCCAGAAAACTCTTATCAGCAAATCCAACCTCCTTTCCTGGATAATTCATCTAGGTCAAGCTAAGGCACGTTGAACACCAGAGCCCAGTTTTGGTGATGCCTCCTCTGTATCCACCCTGGATGAAATATTAGCACAGTTCAGGTTATCAGCATGTCTTTTCACGAGCATTGAGTTCACTGCAGATAATGGTTCCTCCAGAAACAGCATTAACCTTAATTATTCAGAGGTAACTCTATCCCAACCTTCCTGATGTTTGATGCTGAGTGAGCTTTCCCCTTCTCCCTTCCCAAAAACCCAAACAAATCTGGGATATTACAGCAAATGAGGGTGCCCAGCACAGGATCCCAGACACAGGGCATCCCTTCAAAGTCTACCTAACCCCGTGCAGCCACTCCATCCATTCAAACGCATTCTCCTGTGCATTAGCAGCAAAAGCACCAAGTCAGCCAAAATGTATTCTTCTCCCATGGATTAGCTGGCACAAATTAGTACGGGAGTGACGCATGCAGTCTGTCCCTTCCCATTTTTCAACATGCACAAACACCGGGGATTTGGAGACGCTTCACGAGTTTCTGCTTACAAGTTAGAGGCGGAGTTGAAATGGTCTGAAACGTGCGAATCGTTGGGGAGATAACACGGCCATTCAGGAGGAGACCTCAAACGCTCCCTCTGCAAAGGCTGCCCTCCCTCCCTGGGCAGATAAAGGCGCTGCTGCTGCCCCAGCACGGGAACTGCTCCAACAGCACCAGCATGGGCCGAGCTGCACCAGGACAAACCCAACCCAGCAGCACAGAACAGCCCCGATGCTGGAGGAGCACTCGGAGCTGACCAGCAGCAGCCACTCCATGGTCCCTGGCAGACACATTGTTCTGAAGAGACCCCTCTGCTTCAGACAGAAGTTAAAAAGATATTATTTTTTTTCTTTCTTTATTTCTTTTCTTTCTGCTGTTTAAGTGGAGTAAGAAATCAGAATATACTGAAAAAAAGAAAGGGTTTAATTTTGCTAATTTTGTGGTTTAACCACCACATTCAGCTGCCATTGATACAACAGATGAAATATCCCCCTTGAACTAAAAAAAAAGAACAACCTAGCCCCATATAAATAACATAAAGGGTTAATCTTCTAGCTTGCTTCCCCCTGTACTGCCAGAGAGCAAAAATTATTAAGTCAAATTCAACTTCTCCAATTAATGGTAGGGTATGTTTTGCTGATAAAAAGCAGATCACGTTTGATTTAAAAAAAAAAAAAAAAAAGCAAGCCCCATCAGTCACAAGGATTCTGTCACAAACTTTCTATTTTCCTTTGGCACATCACCAATTAGACCTAGTTCTTTAGTCTGCTACCACCAGTATAAAAAAAAAGGCATAATGGGTTTATAATTTGCCACCAAATCCCATAGCAACTGTACGTCACTTCAGATGTAAATTACAGACAATTCCTTCCAATGCCGTTTGAAAACTATAGAGACGAATCTATAATTTGAGCAGATCCAAACGCTACACGGCTGGGAGAAACAGCTTCCCTAAATAATTGAAAGGAAACCGCCACGGGCCAGAACACTGCTCGTGCACAACGTTCAGCGTCTCTTTGTCCCCCTGCTTGCCATGGGAGGTGCCACACTCAGGTCAGCGTGAGGAAGAGCACTGAGCAGGGGCTGAGCAGCGCAGGGTGTTCTGCAGATCCTGTCCCATTTCTGCTGATGAGCCGTACGTGTGCCATGAGCTTCCTCTCCAGGCTCCTGTGATTCACTCAGTCATGTCACCGACTCATGCTCCCGATGTCGTAAGAGCCTCAATTTTGACGGACTACAGCATCAGTGAATTAATAGGACAGGAAAAAAACAGGTTACAGGCAAGGAGGAATGATGCAAAAAGCTCTGAGATAATTCAATGAATTTTGATTGGAATGGTGGATTGTTCCTCTCCTCCTGACACCTGCGAGCAGCTTTCAATTCTCAAGTCAGCATGAATACGCATTACCCTAAAGACCCTGTAATGACAGCACAGCCTTCATTTTGTGTTTCGTGCTTTGAACGCAGCAAGATGAAGGAATCTCCACAACCTGCTCCAAAAAGCCAGGGCTGGAAAGTTATTTCAATAAATAGCAGCTCCAAGGGGTCGGGTTAACTCTCATTTCCAGGGGATTTCTCTCACGGTTGGTTTTAGGGCAGCATGGGGAAGAGGATTTGGGGAGCCACATCTATCAGACCACAGTCCCAAAATTCAGCTGGGTGAGCACAGGGACAACGTGCCTTGGTTATCTCAGCTTAGTCCCCAATAAATATTTGTGCATCTGCCAAAGTTCACCAGTGAATCAACCGGTGGCTGCAGTTCAAAACGCTCTGGGGTAGCAGGGGCAGAGAGGGACAGCGGGAGCAGGACGTGCTGCCCAGCTCCAGCACCAAGGGATGCTGCAGCCTTCTTTAAAGGGTTCTTCAAACCCTCCGAAAAGCACCAGGAAGGCAGGACCAGGAGCAGAGCTCAGCCATTGTCAGGTCAACACAGAATGACAGGGAAAGGTGTACAACCACAACACGCTGCCTGTAACCAAAGAACCACCCCTTAACCTCAGAGAGAGGTTTACAGAAATACGTGGAAGTTGGGAAATTCCCAGGTGAGGGCTCCAGGAACAGCCCTAACACTGTCTGTGTGCCATCAGCACCTTCAGTGCGAGGGAGGCAGAGCCACTGCCAAGGGACACCCGGGTCTGCCATGTGGCACCTGAATCAGGCAGGAAGATGGGACTTACCCAGGATGCTGCTAAAAAACAGATGTGGAAAATACGGGATGAATGGTAACTAAGGGAATTAGGTGAGGATGGGGAAATATCTCCTCATCAAGGACAGGAATGAAAGAGGAAAGCAAGGCACAGGTGTGAGGAGTTCCCTTCTACCTTGACTGGGGCAGGAACAAAGTCAGGGCCACACAAGAAGTGATGGGAAAAGTAATGGAATCATCTAACCCCAGAAAGGTGTGGGTCAGAAAGACCTTGAAGACCACCCAGCTCCATCCCCTTCCCATGGCAGGAACACTTTCCACCAGATGAGATTGCTCCAAGCCCCATCCAAGCTGGCCTTGGCCATGCCCTGCCTTTTGGGGGGAGTGGCAATGCCTCACCACGTACACACCCCAAAAGGACGGCAGCAAACTGCAGGCTGCTCTGGAATTACACTCCCTGCAGAACCCAGAGCTGGTTTAGGTGAGCACTCCAGACTGGCTCCATTTCAGCAGCGGACAAACCAACTCGGGACACACTTCCCACTGCTCGGCCCTCTGAGCTCGGCAGCCAGAGCTCTCAGTTTCACAACTGTGGGGAAACAGTTTCAGGGGCAGCAAGTTTCACAAGGAGCAGCTGGGTGACATCTCACTGTCCCCAGTGAAGCCAGTGCTAACTCTCTTTTTAAGGCTCCTATTTCTTTCAGGTGAGCTACCAAAGAAACCCTTCCCAGGACCAGAAGGCAGCAGCCCTGTGAGCTGGAGCTCCTCATCCTCTGTCCTTGACACAGGAGCAGCTTGCTGGAACAGCAGAGTTGGGGATCAGTATCTCAGAATCACAGAATGGTTTGGGCTGGGAGGGATCTTAAAGCTCAACCTGTTTTAAACCCTTCCATGAGCAGGGACACCTTCCACTAGACCAGGCTGCTCCAAACCCTCTCCAGAATTTGGATCCTGACCATTTTCCTCCCTAGGACGCAGACAACTCAGCAGAAGCACGAGAGCACAGCTCAGCAGAGGCCCAACAAGACAAATATCTGCTTCTCCACAGCCCTGCTGCCTGATCCACACATGGTGCAGCTCCACACCAAGCCTGCAACTGCTCTGGCACCAGGGACACTCCAAACACATGGCAGCTCGCCCGGCTGGGTGATCATTTTTGGATTATGTAATCCCAATACATTATTATTAGCCCAAGAACAAACTCAAGCAAGGCACTGAAGACATTTCCCTGCCCGCGCTGGCAGAGGGACCGGGCCCTGTCGCAGGAACGGCACGGCCGCGCTCCCCCGGTGCCCCAAACAGGTCAGGCTGCACACGCTGGGCTCCAGGTAGCACAAAGAGCAGCATTGGATTCCAGGCCATTATCCACATTACACAACGCTGCCGTCGGTTCCGCCGCATTTCAGACCAAGGGCCGGAGCGAATTTTTTCCGTGGAGCCGCTGCAGCCCCAAGTGAAAGCGGAGCTGGGGTGGACAAACAGAAGCTGCAAAGGTGTGCTGGGGGCGGCTCCCGGCAGGGCAGGGCCCGCAGCTTCCGAGGAAGCCCAGACCTTCCCCAAGCCGGGGAAACTGTTTATAGAACCCATGCAGAACGAGCAGATGTGTTTAATAGCCCACTAATTGTTGCGTTATTCACTACACAAACAAGCAGCTCTTCTGCCCTTATCCCTTCCTGCCCAGTTAATCACCAGGAGTCTCTGACTATTTCTCTTTTGGGTGGCGGTGAAGGAAGCAAAGTTCATTAGTGGCCGTTGGCCACCAAACAATCCTGAGCCCAGACTTCATTTAGAAAATAAACACCACTATTCATGTGTGACATGGACTCGGAATAGCTTCCCAAAATATTTAACGCAGCTGCCTGTAGTCTTCCTACTTTCCCTCGCCCAAAATAAAAGGCTTTCCCAATATATAGGAAAGAATTATTTGGATTATTTGTTTCATTTTTCAGAGAGGAAAAAAAGCTAATAATTCAGTCTTCCCAAGTCACTTATTCCTTCTGACTTCTCATAATGCTGATAAACACTCATTAAAATATAAGTTGATAAACCCTGGTACAGTCATTACCTTCGTCCTCATACAGAGATTGCCCAATTCAGTGATGTGATGTAACCAACACCCTAAATTAAAAATAGTGTTGTGACAACATATGGTTTATCCTACAGAAGCTGGCAGGCAGGACGCTCCTAATGACAAACGGGTTTAGGCTCCCAGCTTCCCCCAGCAAGGTGAGGAGACAGAAATGCTCGTCGCAGGATCGGAGGCGGAAAGAAAAAATACAATAAAAATAAAATTACACTAAAAAATGACAGTTTTGAACCCCTCTCCGGTCCATCCCAACACCAGCTGCCGAGCTTTTGCCATTATTCTCTATTTACATGACTAATAAGCTCTCTGGACGCATTTCAAGGAAACGGCACGGAAAAGACAATCTGGAAATTTCAAAATACAGTCTGAACGTGCCTCCCCCCGTAGCTGCCGGGAGGGGAGCACCGACCGGCGGCGGATGAACACCCGGGAGCACCGGGAGGGGACAGC